ATAGTACTGGCACAAAAATAGACACATTGATCAATGGACAGAATAGAAAAACCCAGAAATGAACCCACAGTATATGGTGAATTAATCTTTGACAAAGCAGGAAAGAACATCCAATGGGTAAAAAATGTTTCTTCAACAAATGGTGCTGGGAAAATTGGACAGAAACATGCAAAAAAAAATGAAAGTGGACCACTTTCTTACACCATACACAAAAATAAATTCAAAATGGATTAAAGACCTAAATGTGAGAGTGGAAACCATAAAAATCCAAGAGAACACAGGCAGTAACTTCTCTGACATCGGCTGTAGCAGTTTCTTTCTAGACATATCTCCTGAGGCAAGGGACACAAAAGCAAAAATAAACTATCAGGACTTCATCAAAATAAAAAGCTTCTGCACAGCAAATAAAATAATCAACAAAGCTAAAAGGCAACCTATGGAATGGGAGAAGATATTTGCAAATGACATATCTGATAAAGGGTTAGTATGCAAAATACATAAGGAACTTATAAAACTCAACACCCAAAAGATGAATAATCCAATTTAATAATGGGCAGAAGACATGGATAGACATTTTACCAATGAAGACATACAGATGGTCAGCAGACACATGTAGAGATGCTCAACATCACTGATCATCAGGAAAATTCAAATCAAAACTACAATGTGATATTACCTCATACTTGTCAGAATGGCTAAAATCAAACACAAGAAAAAAAAAGGTGTTGGCGAGGATGTGGAGAACAGAAAAACTCTCTTATATTGTTGGTGGGAGCGCAACGTGGTGCAGCTGCTGTGGAAAACAGTATGGAGTTTCCTTGAAAAGTTAAAAATAGGGGCACCTGGGTGGCTCAGTTGGCTAAGCGTCTGACTCTTGGTGTTGACTCAGGTCATGATCTCATGGTCATAAGATTGAGCCCTGTGTTGGGCTGCATGCTGACAGCACAGAGCCTGCTTGGGATTCTCTCTTTCCCTCTCTTTCTGCCCCTCTCCTGCTTCTGCTCTCTCTTCTCTCTCTCTCAAAATAAATAAATAAACTTTAAAAAATGTAGAACTACCCTATGATTCAGCAATCGTACTACTAGGTATTTACTCTAACAATATGAAAATGTTGATTCAAAGGGATATATACATGTACCCCAATGTTTATAGCAGTATTATCTACAATACCCAAATTATGGAAACAGCCCAAGTGTCCACTAATTGGTGAATGGATAAAGAAGATGTGGTACACATATACAAAGGACTATTACTCAGCCATAAAAAAGAATGAAATCTTGGGAAACCTGGGTGGCTCAGTTAAGCATCTGACTCTTGATTTCAGCTCAGGTCATGGTCTTGCAGTTCGTGAGTTTGAGCCCTCATCAGGTTGAGAGCTGACAAGTGCAGAGTCTGCTTGGGATTCTGTTTCTTATCTCTGTGCCCCTCCCCCCCTCTCTTATGCCCTCAAAATAAATAAATAAACTTTTTAAAAAAGAATGAAATATTGTCATTTACAATGACACGAATGGAGCTAGAAAGTATTATGCTAAGTGAAATCACTCAGAGAAAGACAAATACCATATGATTCTACTCATATGTGGAATTTAAGAAACAAAACAAATGAGCAAGGGGGAAGAGAGAGAGAGGAGGGGAGAGAGAGAGAGGAGGCAAACCAAGAAACAGACCCTTAACTACAGAGAACAAACTGATGGTCACCAGGTGGCAGGTGGGTGGAAGATGGGTTAAGTAGGTTATGGGGATTAAGAAGTACAGTTGTTGTGATGAGCACTGGGTGATGTATGGAAGTGTTGAATCACTATATTGTACACCTGAAACTAATATTACACTGTGTGTTAACTGGATTTAAATAACTAAAAAATTAAGCCAAGTTCTTGTAAGATCCGACTCCATCTGACCTCATTGCCTTTTACCTTGTTCATTTTGCTTCAGTCATGCTGCCTTCTTAATTGCTCCTTAAACAATGGTCTTATGACCTGTGCACTTAGTGTTCTCTCTGTCCAGAATGGTCATCCCCTGGATATGGGGGCTTTTTCTTTCACTTCCTTCAAGTTTTTCCTCAAAGTTCCCTTCTAAGGGATCCAGATTTCCACCTCTTATACTTCATATTCTCCTCTGCTGCTCAAATACTTATAACTAATATATTACATATTTTACTTATTTATCTTGTTTATTATTTGTGGGCCTTCCCCCACTAGAATGTAAGCTTCACAAAAATGGGGATATATGCCTTTGTTTTCTTGATGCTATAGTTCCTAGCTTCTAAATCAGAACCTGGCACAGTAAATGGCTGCTCAATAAATGTTTGTGAATAAAGGAATGTATGTTTATAAAAGCTCCCATAGAGGGGAAAAAAAACCCCACCCCAGATCCAAGGATCCTGATGGCACAATGCTTCTCAACAGCAATACTGGAAACTGGAAGACAAGAGACCAACAACATAAAAAATGTAGGGGAAAATGATTTATATAGTCTCCAGATTACGAGACAAACTGCTAAGGAGAGTAAATTAAAGACACTTTCAGTTTTGCAAGATTTAAAAAATATTGTTCTCATGAACTCTTTAAGAAGTTATTGATGATAGACTTCATTAAAATGAGATTTAAAAAAAAACAAACAAGAAATAGGAAGATATAGGCTCCAGGAAACAAGAGATTCAACACAAGGGGAGACACAAAGGGAAAACTTGGGATAATACTTAGTATCCAAAACTAGGATAATACTTAGTAAAATTCTAGGCTGTTGCCATGCAGAACATCTGGAGAGTGATCAATCCAGACAGAGGCAGGAGGCGCTGGACCCCAGGAGGAATGTCTCTAAGAAGAAAACCAGAACTGAGAGCTCACCTGATATGTTTGCTCGTAAGGACTTCTGCACTGTTGAAGAGTTCATGAAACAATTATGACAGATAAATAGAAACAACACTGTGTGGCTTAGTTATGAATAATATTGAATAGTAATAATTATGTAAAATAATGGTCAAATGATTTGACCAAAAGTTGGAAGGTGAGTAAAAAGGAATGTGGGGGAAGGGCGCTGGGCTGACTCAGTCAGTAAAGAATGCGACTCTTGATCTCGGGATTGTGAGTGATCTCTATACATTGGGTGTAGAGATTACTTAAAAATAAAATCTTAAAAAATAAAAAGGAATGTGGAGAAATTAGATAGAGGAACTGAATCCAGATTTTTCATAGTAAAAAGGAGATATATACACATCCAAAATGGAATAATAAACAGAATAGTATAAGCATATTATTTAGAATTATGAATATAAATAAAGAAAGAGATAAAAGAGTTGAAAGAAAGAAGCTGCCTCTGGAGTCTGAGTGTGAGAGACAGAAATAGACAGGACCCTCAAAGTCTACTATTTTCATTTAAGCTTTGTAGTACTATTTGACTTTTTAGGTTATATAAATGTTATTTCAATAAAAGTAAATTAAAATTTAAGAAGTTGACATGAAATGAAGAAACAGCATTATGAAAATGTCATTTAGAGTTATGGAAGAAATAAAAGGAACCAAATATAGATGGGTAAAAGACAGGAGCACCTGGCTGGCTCAGTCGGTAGAGTATGCACCTCTTGATCTGGGGGTTGTAAGTCTGAACCCCATATTGGGTGCAGAGATTACTTAAAGAAAAAAATCTTAAAAAAAAAAAAAGTAAAAGACAATGGTTACCACTGAAACGTGGGATTAGGGGCTGATTTTTTATGACCATAGGCTTGATAGCTTTTACAATTAAAAATAAAACCAGGGTCAGGGCGCCTGGGTGGCTCAGTTGTTAAGCATCTGACTTCGCTCAGGCCATGATCTCATGGTTCGTGAGTTTGAGCCCCGCATCAGGCTCTGTGCTAACAGCTCAGAGCCTGGAGCCTGCTTCGCTTTCTGTGTCTCCCTCTCTCTCCGCCCCTCCCCTGCTTGCGCTCTGTCTCCCTCTCTCTCAAAAATAAATAAACATTAAAAAATTAAAAATAAATAAATAAATAAATAAATAAAATAAAACCAGGGGCACCTGACTGGCTCACATCAGTAGAGTGGGTGACTCTTGATCTTGGGGCTGTGAGTTTGAGCCCCATCTTGGGTCAGGAGATTACTTAAAATCTTAAAGGGGAGCCTGGGTGGCTCAATTGGTTAAGCTTCCAACTTCGGCTCAGGTCATGATCTCACGGTTTGTGAGTTCAAGCCCCGCATAGGGCTCTGTACTGACAGCTCAGAGCCTGGAACCTACTTTGGATTCTGTGTCTCCCTCTCTCACTGCCCTTCCCCAGCTTGTACTCTGTCTCTCTCTCTCTCTCTCTCTCAAAAAAATAAATAAAAATAAAATAAATTAAAAAAATAAAATTAATAAAACCAAACCACAGTATGTGTTGGCCTATTAGGTATCTGTGAGAATGGGATAATACTGAAGCAATTGTGCATTGGTCTGCTTTTTAAGTCAGTTGTGCTAGCAAAAAGAAACCACTACTATTTTGAGAAAATGGATATATTTGCACTTTAATGTGATGATATTACAATGGTTTGTCATTCTAAACACTCAATCTAGTATCTTAATATCAAGGAAAGGTATGTGTTGGTTTAATAGGAGTTACCCAAATACTGAAATTCAAATTCAAAATTGTCCACTTGAATTGAAATGACCTTCCTAGAAGAATTAATCCTCTTGGGATTTTGTTCTAATCTTATTTTAGCAACAGATTTTCTCTAATACCAAGTGGAGTCATTTGAGTTCTGACACAGAAATAGCAAAGAAACAGTAATGATAGGTTAAGTATTTGGTCAGAACTTCTATGTGTGCCATGAGGGGCTGCATGGAACCCACACATTAATTACATTTACTCAGGGGAAAATATCTGTTTTTATTTTTTAAGATACTTAGACAAAAATTTCACAATACCTCTCAATAACTCATTTGTTTTAAAATTTTCTTTTAAAATGTTTTTATTTTTGTTTTTTGTTTGTTTGTTGTTGTTGTGGGTTTTTTTTTTTTTTTGTTTGTTTGTTTTTACAGTGGCACCTGGCTCAGTCAGTTAAGTGTCTGACTCTTGGTTTCAGCTCGGGTCATTATCTCACGATTCGTTGGTTTAAGCACCGTGTTCGGCTGTGTGCTGACAGTGCAGGGCCTGCTTGGGATTCTCTCTCTCTGCCCTTCTCACCCCCTGCTGTCAAAAATAAATAAATATTAAAAAATTAAATTAAAATGTTTTATTACATACTTCAATACATACTGAAAATATAATCCATACATAAGGGATAAAATATTGTAATATAAGGAGCACCAGTGAAGCCACCACTCAATAGAACTGGGACACTACCAATGCTATAGTAACAACCCCTGGATGCTTCTTTCCCCATCCCATCCTCACTGTTAAAATAGCTTTCTCTATACCTTTGATACTTCCTGTTATGATTTAATTTCCTCTGGCTCTATTCTCTGGAGACGAATATCTATGAAACGTCTCTGCTTTCACTTACAAATAAGTGAGCCTGGTATTCAGAGTTGATAGATCTGGTTCCAAGTCCAGCTCTGCCACAACCTCACTAACTGTGTAACTGTAGCCGAGTTATCTAACTCTCCTGAGCCACACTCTCCTCACTTGTAACGCAAGGACAATACTTTCTAATTTCTAGGATTGGTGTAAGACATAAGTGAGCTAATAAAAGTAAAGCATTCATTACCTATAGCTATTTTTATAGAAAATAAATCGTTGTGATCTTATCTTAGAGTCTTTTTAAGACTCTAAGTGCAAAGTGTGAAAGGAAGTACTTACATGTCTGGCTAATTTCTTCATTTGGTAATCTTTGCTTCAAGAACAAACATAATTTATTTATTTATTTATTTATTTTTTTAATTTTTTTTTCAACGTTTATTTATTTTTGGGACAGAGAGAGACAGAGCATGAACGGGGGAGGGGCAGAGAGAGAGGGAGGCACAGAATCGGAAACAGGCTCCAGGCTCTGAGCCATCAGCCCAGAGCCTGACGCGGGGCTCGAACTCACGGACCGCGAGATCGTGACCTGGCTGAAGTCGGACGCTTAACCGACTGCGCCACCCAGGCGCCCCCAGAACAAACATAATTTAAAAAGAAATACTTGATCCTGTTCTTTCTGGATATTTTAATAATTGAATCCAGTCAACCAGTATGGATGATTTTTGGTTGGCTATGCAGATACTGTTTGTCAGGGTGCCTAAATGTCCTGTTTATTAATGAATTCAATGCCTTTCCAAAGGCATAAGAATGAAGAAAACAGTAGAAAAAGCACATCAGAAATTCAGTTGGATATTAAGTAAGTCTAGATCTTGTGTTTAGCTGGGACCGCATGATAAATAAATAGAAAAAGTGACAACTATTTGAAAAACATTTCATTTTAGTCACTTATTTTTTAAAATCATTTTTCTGCTTTAAGAAATAACATAACCAGTTGTTACAATAAAGCAGTCCAGAATGTTACCAGTTAGTCTGTCACCATGGTAGCAGAATCTGGGGAACATGTAAGATACATTATTCTAGAAATCCTGAGATTGACGCCTACGTTTGTACCAGGAGACCTGTTTATCTGAAAAGATAACAAATCAATTCTCTTTATCCTTCTGAATTGCATGAAATGTTATCCTCTTGAGAGAGAAGATACTAGTGTGTAAAATTCGAGGACATCTTAATGATGGCCAACATCAAATAGCTGCAGAAATGAGATCAGTGCCAAAAGACAAGAGGATAAAGAGAATTGAGCCTTTAAGCTTAGAACTACTTAGTTTTTTGGTACCATATATGATGCAGATGTTAGAAATGGGAATGGGAATGATGACGATGATGAAAATGCAACTGTGAGTGAATCAGGCCAGAAGATTTAATATTAGTGTTAAATACAATCATTTTAGTAGATTTTGCCCATTCTTCTTGAAGAGCAGCACTGCTTCACTGTCATGGGCTGTGCATCTTTCATTGTAGTCTTAATTGTTGACTAATACGTTGTATTGAAATATGTGACAGTTATATAATTAGGTTAATTTAAAGGACTATCGTGAAGAAGTGTTTTTCCCACCTTTTTTGCTGTCACCTGAGGATAGGGCTACAATTACAGCATGACAAATGTTTGAGTGAAATATGAAAAATCCAGACAAGTGACAGTTTGCCCATTACTTGATGTCAAAAGACTGGTTTGACTGATTTTATGTTTCATTCATTGACTTGACGAGTTGTTTGACCAAATTGTTTTCTTTGGTATTTTTTAGACACAATTTAAATGTGATAACCAGCTATGTGGAACTCTGTCTTTAAAACTGCTTGTTCAGTCATTTCTATAATCAGAGTTTCAATAATGAGGTTTCCCACTGAACTATCGGTCCAATCCCTGTAATATTATGAGAAAAATACACACAGTGGTATTAACTTTCAGTGAAACATGAATTTTGAATGACAAAATAAATTTTGGATGACAAAAGGATGGTTGAGAATTATTGAGAATCTTTTCTTAATAAAGGGGACTTTAATTTTGTTTCTGATTGTTACAAAATTTTATAGAACAGATTGCTCTGATCTTAATTTATCATTTCTTTTTTTCTTTTAATTTTAAGTAGGCTCCACACCTACGCCAACATGGGGTTTGAACTCATGACCTTGAGATTGAGAGTCACAAGCTCTACTGACTAAGCCAGCCAGGTGCCTCCATCGATGGTTCATAAAATTACATTTTTATCTATTTACATCACAAAAATCTAGAAGTGACAATCTGAGCTGGTGTCAATACATACCTATTGTCCTTTTTATGGAACAATCACCCGGTACTCATAGAAACCTTACCAAAGGCAGAACTATCTGTTTTTATATTCATATTGCTTAAGACTCTTACCTCCAAAACTATGCACTTAGATTTTTCTATACCATTTCAGCTATTTTTATAAATCTATAAAGCTTTTTTCACTTTATGAATAACATAGTATCTGGTCTTCTGGTCAAGAATTTTTATAGCTCAACTAAATATACGTACAAGGGCTTTTTTCTCCAAAATTATTTTAAGATGTACTTCCAGAATAGCTATTAGTAATTTGAGGGTTAGAGTCTTGGAACATTATGATTCCTATTATTGCAATACATATTTTTAAAAAGTCACAGTCCAATTATATATTTGTTTTATGTATCATGACAATTTTGAATACTCTACTCAATATCTCTTTTGTTATTATTGGCAATGACTCTTTATTACTTTTAATAATAGCATTATCAATAGAAATAGAAAGATTTAATAGTTTTCATGATTTGAGAAAATATATTTCAAAATTCTCTCTTGTAACATGGTAATGTTCATGCTTTTCAACAAATAGAATGGTTACTATATTCTGTCAGCTTTCTATCTCTTTATATTTTCCATTTTTCAAATGCTAGAGTTTCCTGACATTTATAACATGTAAGAAAATACAGTGGTGCTTTGATTCCTTTTGGAGTACAAATATGAAGTGGGCGCTAGTCAAAAACATTGCTGCCTTCTCATAAATTACTGCCAGAGTGAAAACTGGTACAGTGTTCATGGACGGCAACTTGGTTCTATTTGTCAAAATTTAAAATGTTCATACTCTTTCACCCAGTACTTTCAACTCCGATGTTTTTATTCTATAATCTTGCATATGTACAACAGAAAATATGTGCAAATGAAATATTTTTTGTGGCCCCTTTGTAATAGCAAAAATGGGAAACATTAGTAAATGCTTGCTACTAAGAAACTGTCTAGATGAATTATGGTATACTTGTACAGTGGATTCCTTACTATACAGACAACAGCTTGAATAATGACTTTTGTATGTACTTATTTGGAACAATATTCAAGAATGAAAACTCAAGGAACAGAGAAAAGGAAATGGTATACTACCTTTAGAATGAAGGAAGAGAAAGAGAAAGAAAGAAATTATACACGTATGTCGGCAAATGTATGGATTATCATTGGAAGAATCTCTAAGAGACTGGGCACAGTGTTTGCCTCCAGAGAGGGGAACTAGGTAACTGAGGAAAAGGAGAGAGATTTAAATTTATATTATATATACTTTTGTATCTTTAAATCATGTATGTACATTTTTCTTCACATACGCATATAAGTACATACAAACATTTCTCTAACCTAAAAGAAATATAACCTCATGTCTCTGAAGAAATACTGTCTGATATTACTATTCATTTCCTCCTTCCCTTTCCATCACTTGAAGAGGACTGAAAGTCTTTTGATAGTTGACAAAGAGCAGACATTTCTACTTTTACAAGGAGCCTGTGCAATCATTGCCAAGAAATTAGAGAAGAGTTGAACCTCTTACTCTTAACATTTTATTTACATTTTTTAAAGTTTATTTCTTTTGAGAGAGAGAGAGAGAGCGAGCAGGGGAGGGGCAGAGAGAGAGAGAGGGAGAGAATCCCAAGAAGGCTCTGGACTGTTAGCTCAAAGCCAGTGCGAGGCCTGAACCCATGAACTGTGAGATCCTGACCTGAGCCACAATCGAGAGTCGGACACTTACCCATCTGAGCCACCCATTTTGCCCCTACCCTTAACATTTTAAAAGTGTTTGGCTTTGTAAATATGCCAATGTAGTTGGGTCTCTGCAATCTAAAGAGAAGTGGAGATCTGATAGTTATAAAAGTTGAGAAGAATCCCCTCTGGAACTGTTTGTGGTCCGAACTGAGTAACTGCCAAATTGCTTCAGTGTACTATGTACACAGTCTCGGAACAATATTTTAGCATCAAACTATAATTAAATCTCTGAATATGGTTGGTTTTGCACCATATAGAATATGTTTGATGTTATAAAATGTGTACTACATATGTAAAACATATTTAGAGATTAATTGAGGTAGGTTTGAAAACATATTTGTTTTAAAAGGAGTTTTTTAAATTTTTAAACAATAAAATCATACATACACAAGAAAAAAGTTTAAAATTTCAATACAGAAAAAGAATTACAAAGATTATATAACATTTTGTAAAATACTATCCTGCTTATAGGTAAAGATAGCCTCAAATTTTATATTTTGTGGTCATCCCACTGACTGTTAAAGAGAAACAAGAAAAGTAATTTCCTTAAAAGAAATCTCAAGGACATTGGGAAAAAAATCACATTGTCACATGCATTCTCACAACTAAGTACAAATACATGCAGATCAGATCAGTGCCAGCTGACTAA